GTCCTCCGGCTTCTCCGGCTCGTGTTCCTGGGGGGCGCCGCCACGCCCTGGCCTCGGCCGCCGCGGGAGCCGCAGGCGGCGCCGGAGTGTCATCCGCCCCCCTTGGGGCAGCAGGCGGCTGCGGCAGCGCCTCTGGGGCAGCTGCCGGTGCCCGAGGCCAAGGGGCACGGGGCTTCCGCGCCCTGGGGCATGTCCAGCATCCCGGGCTGCGCCTGCAGCGCCGGTTTCGGGACAGTCCCTGAGATCCGATGCCGTGATGCTACGGGCTTGCGCCACATCCGCCGACCCCTCCATCAACTCCTGCGCGTCCAGGACTGCACGAGGCCTGTCCGATTCCTGGGAGGTTCCTGGGGGGGCGTTCGGGGCCTCTGTTCGGGCTCCCTGGGGGGCTTCTTGGGGCGTGCTGGGGGCTTCTTGAGGCACCCTGGGGGCGTCCTGGGGCCGACGGCTGGAAATGTGGGTTCGGGTTCCCCCCGTGGGCCCCCTTTTGGCGCCGTCCGGGCGCCCTCTGGGGCTGCCATCGGGGCTTCTTTGGCGGTCTTGGGGCCCTTGTGGGCCGTCTTGGAGCTGTCCTAGGGGTCTTTTGGGCAGTCTTGCACGGTAAGAAAGCGCAAGGGGCGAATATGTTCAAAACATACGTTTTCTTCAGGGAATGGGGCAATTTTCACTTCTTCGGTGCCGTTTGGCAGTCCTCTTGGAGGCCTCTTGGGGCGTTTTGCAGGCATCTTGGGCCGTCTGAATGCCACCTTGATCGTCTTGGAACGATCATTCGACGATTCGGGGCCCTCTTGGATCGTCTTGGGCACACTTGGGGCCCTCTTGGCCCTTTTTGGGGCCCTCTATCCTCCCATGATGCGTTCGTCCGGGGCCGGGGGGGGGTCAACTCTCCGGTTTGGGGTCCCTGGGGGGGTGATGGGGGGAACAATCTCACACGCCTAGAGACCCACAAGGGGTCGGCGGATTTTTTCCATACGGGGTCCCCGGATGTCTCGACCCATTCCCCGGGACCGGGTTTTCCTCCCGACTCGTTTTCTGACGGTCCCGAGGTTTGGCGAGGGCCCCCAGGGGCCGAACTTTGCGAAAAAACACTGTCCCGATTTTTTCGATACGCTGGATCTCTGGACATTCGTTCGCGCCATGGAACATTTTGGGAGCCCTCGGGCCTGCAAGTGGCGCTGTGGGTCCACCTGCTTCGGGGGTGCGCTCCACAGCACAGCCTCACTGGAGCCGCAGGCGGGGCCGGCTTCTCTTGGCCACAGCGCTTAATCCTTCTACAGGAGGAATATCTAAAAGCAGTGGGGCGATTTTTCGACTATTTTTGTGACCATTTTCGGATATCTTTTGACTATTGTTGTTTTTTCTCCAAAATCCGACTGTGAGGGGACATGCCCGACCTAATTCTTGGCCAACGCCAGGGCCACAGCAGCCTCAGGCGGTCCCACCGCCGCAGGTGCTTGACCAGCTGCACCACTGCCTCTGGCTCCAGCGGCAAAGGCTGGCGCCAGATTCCGCTGGTCCCGCCCTTTGTTGAACTCCCTGTCCACCACATCGAAATGGCTCCGTATCCCCGGCGGAGGCGCCATAGGCGGGGCCACAGACTCCACCGGCGAATACGACGAACTCGATCTCGTCGTTGGAGATCCCGAAGCACTCCGTGAACTCATACGGGTGCCGGGCAAAGCGCCCAACAACTCACTCGGCATGATGAAGCGCATGCCTCTTGCGCGGCGCCATTGGCACTGCACCTCGAGGCGCAGTAAACGTTAAGCAGGAGACGAACGCAGGAAATTGTCTGAGCCCGAGCCTTGAAGGGAGGGAAGAGGGATCAGGCAGGAAGGAGGAGGGAGGGAGAGAGGGAGGAGGGAGAGGAGGAGGAGGAAGAGGAGGAGGAGAAGGAGGACGAGGAGGCGGAGGAGGAGGAGCAGGCGGAGTGTGAGGAGGAGGAGTTGAGGAGGAGGCGGGAGAGGAAGAGAAGGAGGAGGAGGAGATGGAGGAGGAGGAGGAGGAGAGGAGGAGGAGTTGAGGAGTTGAGGAGTTGAGGAGCTGAGGGCTGAGGAGTTGAGGAGTTGAGGAGTTGAGGAGTTGATGATGATGCTGATGATGATGATGCTGATGCTGCTGATGATGATGATGAGGAGGAGGAGGAGGAGGAGGATGATGGTGGTGGTGGTGATGATGAGGATGATGATGATGATGAGGAGGAGGAGGAGGCTGAGGCTGAGGCTGAGGGTGAGGGTGATGCTGATGATGATGATGATGATGATGATGATGATGATGATGATGATGATGATAATGGTGATGCTGATGGTGATGATGATGATGATGATGATGATGATGATGATGATGATGATGATGATGAGGAGGAGGAGGAGGAGGAGGAGGAGGAGGAGGAGGAGGAGGGGGTAGTAGGTGTTCACCCTTAGCGTTTTGGGGATTTGAAGGCGGCCGTCTGTCTGCCTTTTTCCTGGGTGCCGCGTCTGTGCCCCCCCCCCTGGAGCTCGCTGAGCCAGCATGGCGATCTTCGCCGCACCCTTCCAGCGCTTTCTCCTTCCTTCTCATCGTTTTCCCTTGCCTCCCCCCTCCCTCACTGCTTTTCGTCGTCTCCCTCCCGTCGTCGCACCCTGCCCTTTCTCCCTCGCACTCGCTGAGCACAGGAGGGTGAGGGTGAGGGGCAACTAATGGACCCGTGCCAAGGAAACGCAAGTATGAATTGAGGGGCATGGATTAGCGACGGGTCTGATTTCCACACCAAATCGGCCAGCTCCGTGGCCAAACGAGGCGGCACTGGCCTCATGCTTCGGGGAGCACCTTCCCCGATCTGTGGACCTGGCGACTGGCGCCTGCGCGCCATATCCACCAATCCGCAACCCATGTCAGTGTGTGCCAGATGGTGGGTGGAGCGAGTGTCGCCTTAGCGGCGTGGCAGGGTCCGTAACAGGAGGGGGGAACAGCGGACAGCGAGGGAGGGGAAAAGGGGGAAGGGCGAACGGGATGGGAAGGGGCGGTAGGGGGGATGGGTAGCCATCTCGATGCGGCAGACTATGCCATTGAACGACATCTGGTGTTTCATGCAGTGGAGGCCCATGCCAAGGAACACCCTGCTTGCCTCCAGGGTGCCCCGGGTTTCTTGGGTTTCGGTGGTTTTGCTTTGGAGAGCGCGTGACGCTCCCACACCAAGAGTCAGTGGACGTCCTGGGGTCTCAGGGTTGGGTTTTTTGTGGAAGGTTCCTTGTGGTCGGGCCCCTGCTGTGAGAATGTGGGACTGGGCGAGACTGTACATTCGATTTTGTTTCTCCTGTGATTTCCCGCGCGGGCAGAGCATTCGTGATGAGAAACACCAGGTTGTTGCTTGATTCTTGTGTTGAGTTGCTCGCAGAGCTTGTGTGTTTGGTGTGATTTTGACGCGGGCGCGCGGGTGGACATTGCGTCGTTTTTTGGGCAAGGGATTCTTTAAGCATGATCTTCTGAGGTGAACGAGTGTGTGCGTATGGTATTGTTAGACAGGGAGGGGGGGGTCGATACCTGGTTGGGCTGGGATGGTATGAATTTAGATGGAGGATGGACGGTGGGTTACAATCGTGTGTAAACGGCAGTGTTCCAAGGGGGCCGATGACTCCGGGGGTGGGTGGGAGGGAGGTGGAGTGTTTGTCTTTTGAAGGGGGAATCTACGTGTTGCAATCTGCGTGGTTGAAGCCATGTGGTGCAAGCTATGTGGTGCAAGCTAAGCTGGGTGGTGGAAGCTATGTGTTACACTTCACCAGGTCAACCACGAGGCGGGTGGGCGACAACGTGGCGCACTCTCGCGGGACCCACACAGCGCACGAGGCGGCCATGAGGCGGCCACGGGCGGCAGCGTGGCGTAATCTCGCCAGAACCAACTGATTTTCTCGGTACGAGAGATGAGAGCCCCCTGAGTGCGAGCACTGTTTAGGGAGACGTTTGCTGCCCGCCGTTCTTTCCTCCACTGTTTCACCGCTCGGCGCGGGTCCCCGCCCCCCCCCTCCTCCCCCCCTTCCCCATAGTCCAGGGCTTGGCTGCTTTGGGTGGCTGCTTGGGGCGACTGGCCAGGGCCCCTCTCCCCCAGTCTGCCTGCGCGGCTGGCAGAAGCAGATCGATTGAGCGCCAGCCCAGGCCCAGACCCCCCCCTCCTCCCCCCTGCGGCCAGGTGCCGAAACCCCACACGGTGGGAGAGGCCCATGCCAAGAAGCGCCCTGCTCGCCTCCAGGGTGCCCTGGGCTTCTTGGGCCCCGAAGCCCCTCGCCCTCCCCACAGACCAGGGCCCTCGGGGGGCCCCTCGGGGGGCTGGCCGACGGGGCAGGCGGGGAGGGGAGCAGCGGCGCTCGCGGCCGCCTCGGGCCCCCCTTAGGCGCACCGGCCCCTGCACTTCCGCCGGGAGCTGGGCGGCCTCCACCACCACGCAGAGGAGATGCTTCTCTTTGGCGCCGGCCGACGGTCTCAGGGCCATCGCTCCCCCGTCACGTTCTTCTCCCCCTCCCTCCTCTTCCTCATCGATGAGTGCTCGGGAGGAGAAGGAGGAGGAGGAGGAGGAGGAGGAGGAGGAGGAGGAGGAGGAGGGGGAGGGGGGGTGGGGGAGGGGGGGAGGGGGACGACGAAGCTCTGGATAGCATGGTCGAGAGAAGCCGGTGTCTGGGGCCCGGGGTTCAGGATGGAGTCGGCCGTTCCCCGTTGGTCAATGGCTTCGACACACTTGGCGGGCGCATGATTTGATGGCCAGGATCGGCAGGGTTAGAGCTGCATAGTGGAAGTGTCCTCGAAACAGGGCAGGCACTTTGGAGTCATTACTTGTTTACATGCCCAGTCTTTCATTGGTTCATCGTTGTTCACCGTTTTCCAAGGGCTGCTGAGGATTGCCATCGCCGTGCTGATACATGTGAATGTTGACATCATGCGCGTCAGCGTAGCGTCATCTGCTCTGGCCAAACAAGCGACGTGCACACTAGCTGGATTTCTCGTGCCTGTACGAGCCCTTCGACACCGAGGCCATTCCTCCTCTCTCTCCGTGGACGGGCGAACGACGATGCAGGCATCGGCGAGGCAGGCTTCGGCAGTGCGGGAGTGCGTGGCCCGCGCTTTCCCATTACTCGCAGCGCCGTGTGCTCTCGCTGGATCTGGCCGCGGATGTAGGGGGCCACATGCGAACCCTACCCCTACCCCCCACGATTTCTGATGGGGAGGGTGGGGTTCACTTCGTTCGGGACCTCCCGAGCGAAGTGAAAACCACCCTCCCCCTCAGAAATCGTGGGGGGTAGGGGTAGGGTTCGCATGTGGCCCCCTACCCACGGCTCCCGGCGGGGGGGGGGCGAGCTCGGGCCCAGACAGGGTGCTTTTGCGCGGGGCGGGCAGCAACCGGGCCTGGCCGGCCGAGGTGAGCAAGACAGATCTACAGACGTGGTACCAGGTGGCTCTGTGGAAGTCGATTGATTGGAGAGGAAGCGTGCTGCCAAGTCATTTACAGATGTCCAAAAGGTGTTTGAAACGTGTTTTAGACACGCAGAGACATGTTTGAAGCATTTTTAGAATATGCAAGCACATCTTTAATTCAATGATAGGATTGTTAGAGTGTCCATTGCCATGGCATCCGCAAAGCTAGGGTTGGGCACCCTTTCCAAACATGATCGCGTCGTAAGCAATCATCACGGCAAGTATTGCATCATTCTCGGCCCCTGGGGGCCCTCGCCGGGCCTCGGGACCGTCAAACAACGATTCAGGATGAAAAACAGACCCCAGGGAAAGGGTCTGGACTTCGGGGGACGCCGTCCTGAAAAATCAGGACGTCGCATGTCTGGGTTTCCAGATCTAGGCCTCCTAGATGGGGTCGGAGTAGATGGTGTCGGAGGATTGCGCCGCATCGCCGATGCATCGCCGATGTGGCTCGATGTGCAGCTCGATTTGCCTCATGCCGACGTCGCCGATGCATCGCCGACGTCGACGATGCATCGCCGGTGCATCGCCGATGCATCGCCGATGCTTCGCCGACGCATCGCCGATGTGTCGGCGATGCGGCGCGATCCTCCGACCCCAGCTACTACGACCCCATCTAGGAGGCCTCTAAGTAGATGGATTTACAGACTTGGTACCATGTAGCCAGGTTCAGGCACCCTTTGCAGAGCCCTTACACGCGTTTCTGGCTGCTGCCGCTTTCAGGGCATTTCGGCCAGCATTTGAGCACACAGTCCACGCGCCCAGTAAGGCCAGCATTTGAGCATACAGTCCACGCGCCCAGTAAGTACGCGCGCCTTCATCTAGGGTGCTCTTGTGTCCTTGTCTCGGCAGCCCGTCCTTTGCCGTTTTCAGTGGTCGCCCGGCGCCCAGAAAGTCCCAGCTTCGGCCTCCAGGGTTCTTGCGTCCTTGCCACTCGTCCTCCATACAAATTTTGACTGTACAGACAGCTCCTTCTGACGCGACAGAACGTGCAAGGTCTCTTGCGGGACCAGTTGGCCATGGAAGACTCGGACATTGCGGTTTCTGGATGCGCTTGCCCGCCGTGCTGATATTGGATGGTGACCCGAGGGCAGTGTGGGAGTTTGCCCCGTGCAGCCTTCTGCACCTCCTGCTTTTTCGGATGCATCTCCTGGGAGATCAAATTCTGACTTTGCCTTGGTCCAGAATCCGGCTTGATCCGGCTTGATCCCGTTGAATCCCGTTGGATCCCGTTTCATTTGGCTTAATCCCGCTCAGTCCGCGGCCTATCCAGCGTAGTAGCCCCTCAGTGGGGCTTAATCCTCGTCCATCATTCCGGCGAAGACCTCCCAGTAGCTGCCTCCTAATGCTTTGTGCCGCAAGGGTCGCGCGTTGCAGCTCGCTTCACGGCATCATGCCCTGCTCCTGTTCTGTCATGTAATTGTGTTGGCCGCCTCGGCGCCCCCTCCGCTGCGCCTCCACGGCGCCGCGTGCGTGTAGCCAGTTGCCAGCTGCCTAGCTGCACGTTCACAGTATCACGTCAATAAGGAACTGCGATTTCATTTTTTCGGTTTCGTCGACTGCTGTCCCAACTACGTCATTGTCGAGAACGGACCACGTGACCGATCAGCGCGACCATGTCGTTCTCCTTGGGCGAGCCGCGCTCGATGAACACATGCGTCCGAGCCGCGTTCCCCTTGTCTACTCTGAGATCGTTTCTCTCCAATTGAAGTCGTACTTGTCCACTGGCCTCAAGACAATCGCAGACGCCTCCGGTCAGTCACCGCCACCACCTACCTTCGGGCAAACACCCACGCTTCTCGGGGCAGCTTGATCGCACCCTGGGCCATCTCGGGGCCGTCTTGGGAGGCCGTCTCAGGCCAGGTCGGCGGGCGTCCAGGGGCAACCGGGAGCTGTACGGGCCGCGGGGGGAGGTGGCAGCTCGATAGCAGAACGTCCCGAGGCAGCGTGCTCCTGCCTTGCCGTCTGGGCAGCGGGCGGCGAGGCGGCGGGCGGCGGAGCGGCAGGCGGGCGAAGGGCCCGTGGCGAGGCCGTGGAGGGCCGGGCAGACGCGCTCGCGGGGGACGGGGGACCGAGGCACCGCGCCGGGCCCTCGCTGCGGGCCACGCACCCGGCGGCGCGTCGTGCCTCTCGTCGGGGACGGTCTCGCCCTCGTGCCGGCCCGGCCCGCACGAGGGCAGCTGGGCCCGGGGAGTTCTGCTTGGTGCTGCTGGGCTCCTCTCGGGCGCCTCTGGCCTGCGCCATCGCAGGGCTTCCTGCTGGCGTCCTGATCGCACGTGCAAGCTCAGAGGAGGAAGAGGTACCCATACCTCTACCCTCCCCGCGTTTTCCCCTTTTTGGGCCTCCTGGGAGGCCCTCTTCACCACCGTTGGATTCGCCTTGAAGTTCTGGTCAGAACGCACCCCAGGAGAGGTCAACGGGAGCAGCGGTTTCGGTACCTGTAAGTGGGTACCTGTAGGTGGTTTCCCCACAAGCGGCAACCGCTACGGCGATGTTGCAGAGTTCTTGGCTCCGGACAGGGCGCCGCGACCTCGACGCCCGGCGCGCAGGGCAGGCGGCGCCGCCCTCGGCCCGGGGGTGCGCAGGAGATGGCCAGCCTGCTGCTGCAGCGGGCGCGGGCCACGGCCCGCCTGGCGGCGGCGGCGGCCGGGCACGTGCGGCCATGGCGGGCGTTCTCGTCGGTGCACATGGAGAGGCTGAAGAAGAGGCACCAGAGCTTCGAGGGGCCGAACGTGGCCCTGGACGTGCGCTTCTGCCCCGCCAAGCGGGGGCAGCTGGACTCCCGCGGGCGCAGTGCCGCCGACGGGCGCCCGTCCGAGCAGCAGGTGGCGGACGCGCGGCGGATACGGGAGCGGAAGGACGCGGGGGACTGGCGGGGCGCGCTGGAGGTGTTGCGCTCCTTGGATGCTCCGACTTATTTTCAGTACTCCATCGCGCTGGACGCCTGCACCAGGGCCCTGGCCCACGCCGAGGCGTGGGAGCTGTGGCGCGAGATGCCGGTGTCGTCGTACGCGCCGTCGCGGGTGGTCGTGCACAACATGATGATCAGGATGTGCGGCAGGCTCAAGCGGCGCGAGGAGGCCCAGCAGCTCTTCGACCGCCTCGCACAGGAGGGCCTGACGCCTTCGGTGATCTCCTACAACGAGCTGATCCACGCGTGCGCGATGGACGGTGCTTGGCAGGAGGCCCTCGACGTCCTAGACGTGCTGCGCAGGGCCGAGCAGTGGCGCGAGGCCGCCACCGTCTCGAAGCAGATCGCATTCACCGGAGCATTCGCCGCCTGCGGCCGCAGGGGGCGCTACGATGAGGGCAGGAGGCTGCTCGAGGCCATGCGGGAGGAGGGCGTGCCGCCGCAGCACAACCACTTCAACGCGCTGCTGACCGCCTGCGGCCACCGCCGCGACTGCACCACCGCGGCGTCGGTGTTCGCGGAGATGCGCGCGGCTGGGCTCGAGCCGCGTGCCGAGGACTACACCCCGCTGGTCGTGAGCCACCAGGAGGACCTGGCCGCCTGCGAGGCGCTGCTGGCCGAGATGCGCGGCCGCGGCCTGCGCCCGGGGCGGCTGTGCCTCGAGGCCCTCGCGGAGGCGGCGCTGGGGGCGGGCAGCCACGCCCGAGCGCGGGAGCTCCTGCAGGAGGCCGCCGACACTTGCGCCATGCCGCCGACCTGGAAGACCCGGCAGCTCCAGGAGCGCGTCCAGGCCGCCGCCGCGGGCCGCGGGGGCCCAGGCGGCGCGCCCGCGTGCGGCCCCGACGCCCCGCTGCCGGATGGCTGGCAGTCCGCCCGGTGCCCCAGCTCCGGGGTGCCCTACTTCTGGCAGGCCTCAAGCCCGAGCACCACGGTGACGTGGCAGAGGCCCTGACGGGCGCCAGGGGAGGCCGCAGCCTGCTGCGCTTCGCTCGCGCGCCTCGCGCGGAGGAAAAAAAGAATTGGATGTTGCAGAGTTCAGGTAAGAGACAGGAGGATGGTCACCGAACTGGCTCCGGAACGTCTTCGTCATCATCTGAGGGGCTAGGGCCTCACCGCCGACGCTTTCAAGGCGCGCGGCCGCGCATCAGCGCGGTTGCGGATATGAGCGCGCGTTTTGCTTCGAGGCCTCCGAGGTAGCACACCTCGGAGTCTTCTCGGGGCGTAGGGGGGGCCATCTTCTCACATCCTGTCGGGAGAAGTGAGATTGGGATCTCCTTGGGCATTCTTGGGGTCACGCTGGGGCCTCTGAGAATGACCGTCGGGCCACACGTGGCAATATTGGGGCCATTTAGAGGTTTCGCAGGACTATTTTGCAGCCATCTTGAAATCATATCGGGGGCAATGCGCACGATACGCATAACACATTGCACTTTGAGGTGCGTGAACAGCGAGTGCGTGAACAGCGAGTGCTATCGATCAAGGCCCGCCTCATCGTAACCAGCTCTCAGATTCGTTTCCTGCATGTAGCTGTGCGGAGCAGCCGCGGGCAGCCGTGCGGTGCCCTGAAGGTGCTCGTTGCCCAGATGGTAGTTAGTGTGTGGATCCCGTGGAGTGTAGTGCAGTGTAGCGTGGTGCCATCATTGTTGA